CTGACAGCCACACTGACAGCCACACTGACAGGAACACTGACAGCCACACTGACAGGAACACTGACAGCCACACTGACAGGAACACTGACAGAAACACTGACAGCCACACTGACAGCCACACGAGCGCCCACCACGCCCAGGGAGCCGGGACATTGGGCGGGAACGGCCGCGGGGACGTGAGGGGACACCCCCGCCTGGAGCACAGCTCACACCCAGAGCGACAAACAGCCGGCAGCGACCGAAAGAAGAGCAGCGCTGCTTTCTGAAAGTATGACCGTGCAGAAAGATAGGCGGTTTTGTTTGGTTGGTTGTGTTTTGTTTGGTTGGTTTTTTTTATCTGCCTGTAGATACAGACTGACAAAGAGTCAAGGTGGCAATGTCAAGACTTCTACAAGGTCTTTACCTGGCCTGTGAGACATTTTAGTAACGGTAGAACAGCTTCGCTAAGAACCAGCCAACAGAACACACCCCCCCACCTCCACCCCTCACTAACAGTGAAAAAAACATTTAAAAAGTTGCTTTGTCAGGAACAGAAATAGGGTAAATATCCTTGTACCCCCTTTATACCACTGCTGTGTAATCAAATAGCAACCCATACCGAGAGAGAACAATTTGCTCTTCTGAAAGGGGAAGAATCAAAATACAGTTTGTAGGCCTTAACTGTTCTATCAATGCACAGTGTGGGTGCATCTCACTTCTAGCATACAGAAACCTCCTGCCATGTAAAGCTGTAAGGTTGATTTTGAGGGGGAAACTATGCTTACAGTTCTGGCCTTTGTGACACATATAGAAAGCAAAAAATGGTCTCCATATAGCAGCATGGCTTTACACATAAATTTTAATATCACAGCATAATACACCACATTCTTAGTTCTTTGAGCTGAATTCCTAGTGAATGTAGCATTTTTAAGCTGATGAAATACTGAAAAACAATAGCAGTGTTCTGTTAGCTTGGCACTGCACTTTTTTTTTTTTTTTGTGATAAGTTCAGAAGTATTTAGTTCTTCCTCACACATACAGTCTTCTTTCCAAGGGCTGTAACCCCATTTTGTTTCCATTCATTCAGTTTCAATTCCATTTTATCTGGCATTCTATTTCTTGTGGACACTGGAACAGAGAAGGCTTAAAATTTGTAACAGTTGCTAACAAAGTTCAGAAAATCAAACATATCTCCATTTCAATTCACCAGTATTCCTAAGCAAAACCATTTTCATTCACTATGTTGCCCTCTTTCTCCACCAATCAGTTGCACACAAAGTTGATAAGTGTGTATACATCAGTTGCACTTTTTTTTTTTTTACCTGTAGCACACTGGCAGTTTTTTGCCAGTGGTTATTATTAAAGTATTATTTAAAAAGTAGTAACAGTTGCTATTTCTTTAGGAGGCTCATTTGTGTTTTCAGTTCAGTGAAGGCTTACCTCTGCTTTCTGCATAAATAACCCAGACGGGCCAGGACTGCAAGACCGACTATTCCAAATACACTGCCAATAATAATTACTTGTTTGATAGCTGGAAAACAGAGACCAAACACAAAAAAACCCCATGAAGACTTTGATACACATTTCTTCATATCTCTTTTAATGCAGTCATATGACAATTTTTGAAATTGTATGTATACTGTTAATTTTTCTGCTCTCTTTGTTTGTGGAAATGCCTCCCTTGGCAGGATTGGACTAAATGATGTCCAGAGGTTCCTTCCAACCCTTTATCCTTTCAGATTTTCTGAAGCTGGAAAAGATTAGGAACTCACAGAATTCCTACATTTGACTGTTAGGGCAGGTGACTGCAAAAGCCTTGTAACACAAAGGGTAGCTGGTGGTTAATATCTAGTCAATATTGTGAATGTGCAGTGTTGATGTAGAACTATCAATCCCAACAACTGAAATGGTTTTCAGTCCTTATTCCATATGGTTTGATCACTTTAAATATTACCCCTGTTTTGGCATTAAATTTTGAAACTACCTTTGCTGCTTAATAATCTACATAAAAGAGAAGTGACTGCTCTGGTGTGAATACATTGAACTGTATTAGAGAGTTTGAACACACTAAAACATGAAAAGTGTCAACTTGATTCTGTGACTGCCTAACAAGGACATCTGAAAGAGAGAAAGAAACCAGATATGAAACAAATTTTGAATAAAAATTATTATTTTGTTTTCTTATTCTACTAAGCAGTGGCAGATTACAATGACACATGAGGACATTTGTAAAAGTTAGGAGATGCAGCATGTGGAGTGAACTGTCTGAGAGAAACAATGCATTTTGTGTCTGAGCCTTAATACATCGGGGCTCCACTTCTCTCAACCCTTCCTTCCATCACTTTGTCACACCTGCCCACACCACAGCCTAGCACACAGTGATGGCAGAGTGACATAACACTTCTGTGATCTTAGAACAGATTATTCAGATGCTAATTTGGTTTAAAGTGAAGTTTAAGGAAAGAAATGTGACACATAAATGTTTCATAAGCATTGGTCTATTATCCAGTAACTTCTGAACAAGGCTCAAAACCTAATGTTTGGCTTCTACATCCTTCACAGGGAGGCACCCAGTCTCTGCCAAGTGATGAGAACCCACCACTGGCTGGAGTAGTTAGTCCAGTAGGGATTTGCCTCTGTTATGAAACCTTTGTGTTTGGAAAAGCATTAATGAGATATCTGACAGATTTTCAAAATGAGCAGTATTTACACAGAGCCTGAGCCTGGAAAAGGAAATCTAAAAGTGAATAGAGGAGGGGGGAAAAAAAAAGAAAAAAACCCAAAAGGCAAACAAAACTAGATTGCCCTTAATCACCAAATTATTGTCTGTCTCAAAGAGACTGTATGTACATATATTGCCAGTATCTTATGATTTTTAGCTGGATATTGCATCTAATTTTACTAGAATCTCCTTTCTGCTTTTGCTGGATGGCTTCTTTGTTCTTCCTCTTTGTGATATTCTGTGAAGAGAGCTTACTGTGGTACTGGCAAGACTTGCAGTGGGATTGTAATTAGAAGCATAGCAAAATAATTATTAGCAGAGGATTTCCATGGAAACTTTAGTCCAAGGAAGCAAAACTCAAAAACAACAATATGCAGGCCCAACAACATAATTTGTATCTGAAGTTTCAAAATACCGAAATGGACTTTGTAAAATAACTGGCATTACATTTTCTTGTTTCCACCTCTTTTCCTATTAATTTTTTCTAGTCCCCATGCCTTTATTTGAACTATTCTCTTTGGAAAATGGAAGCATACAGTAACTAAAAACACTTGGTGATTTGCAAGACAGAGCTTGAGTCTGATATGCCACAAAACTGCAGCAAGTGTAACAAACACAGCACTGTAAAGAAGTACACCTGTAAGTTTAGAATAACAGAGAGCTGGGCCCTTTGCTCTTGACCAGCATGAAAGAAATAATTTGAGAAAGTGTGTTTTTAATAGTTCACTCTCAAAGTAAAAATGTGACTGCTGATCACAGTGGCTAGGTCAGTGGTCACCCATTCAGGCACCCAGAAACTGGGAAGGGCTGTCCACTAATTTTGTCAGCATTTTCCTGGTGTTAAGAAGGTCTTTGTCACAGGACTTGATAAAATGGATGTTAGCAAAACAGCAGCATGCTGCTGTGTAAAGATATAAAAAAGAAAGAAAACTGACCTCAGGAACAACAGATTTTGACAACACTTCTTTTCTGTACTGGAGAAAAGAAGGCTTGTGGGATGGAGAATAGAGCAAATGGCTGAATAGAGAAGTAAGACAGGGAAAACTGGCTTTGGATTTCAACTATGTCTTGGACCAGAGGCAGAAATGTATTTAGTGGAAAGCAAGTACTAGCTGTCCATGCTATAAAAACATGAGAAGTTTAGATATAAGTGAAAGGAACTTTAAACTGTATTGCCTCTCTTCTCTATACACACCTGGGCCTGTCAATAAAATAGCCTTCTCAGACAAACACAGACATCTAGCAGAACACCTTATGGAAGAAGACTAGATATACATCCCATTATTAGGGCCTAGCAGTAAGAAAAAAAGAATGGAGAAATTTGCGTTTTATATTGTATTGATCAGTTGTTGGTATTGTCAGCATCCTGCTGCTGTGGACAGCATTGTCATACTCCAACTTCCTGAGGCTAATAAAATCCATCGATTTTGGTTCACATTGCAAATTAACTAGAACACCAAATATCAAGTAGTAAGGAAGATCTTTGTTGCAATCAGAACAACAAAATTCTTCCACACCTTGTTTTTCTTCATAATTTTTCAGGAAAGCATTGGAAAACATTGTGGGTTTTGTTTGCTCATCCACAAAGCTGCAGTATGTCCCCATCATTCTGAATGCAATCAATCACTGCATATCTTCCAGCTCCTTTCCTCTGATCTCACAGGGCTGCCTTTCTGTCCCAGCTTTTGCTAGTGTAAATGTCAGCATCTGTTTTGCTTATTGAGACTGACTGGCTCTTATCCAGTATATATGTGGTTGATGGCAGCAGTGGAAAAATATTCTTAGCTTTTAGCTTGGCAGAATGTTTTGACACTGCCTTTTTAAGATCTGGCCTTTGCAAATTTTTCTGCTGCCCAAAATCACTGCAGTTCATCTTAAAAATTTTACTAAATTCAGAACTGCATTGGAAACATACAAACAATTGGTACAGGCCAGCAGAGGCTGATGAAATGTGCCAGCACGACAGGAATTTGTTGCTGATGTGAAGTGCACTTTCCACATTTCTTTGGAAGGGTCTTAGAATGGAGAATCTGTTAGTATGAATTATTTGATGAGTGCTTTTGGGAACTATTAACTCAGCATTAAAAGTGCTTCAACATGCCATCTGGCCTTGCATCACCCTGGTGCTTTGAAATATTGCCATCTTGAGGACATTTGGAGTGTATGTGATGAATGAATAAAAGGAAAGTTTGGGGCCATTTTCTGTAAATCATAGAGACAGCCTATGCTACTAAACCATTACTAAATCAAACAATCCCAGGCTAACTGATAATCTATTAGTAGCAACACAAGAGGAATAATAAATATGTTATTTATACTAAATACTATTGCATCATTCACAATACTTTTACTGCTATAGAATAATAGCATTATGTTTTGAGATAACATTATCTTTTAGGAAAAAAAATGAAAGCATTCAACAAGTGTGGGCTTGTTGAACCCCAATCACAGA